CGACGGTAAGAACCTCCGAGTGGTCAGATAGGTTTCTCTGAACACGCTGTACATCGAACGACGAGAAGAAGAAGAAACTTGGTCGGAGAATCCGCGGAGGCAGAGGCATGCGGCGAAGGTGTAGATTTACCTAAGGAAGCAGCTTAAAAGACTGTCTTGTTGCGAGTATTCGTAACGTGCGTTCCACCGATCACCGGAGGAACACGATATAGGATTATGTCGTGTTACAGGCATATTGAACACGTGAGATATACGTCGCAGAAACCGGATACGTGCGGGCGCGTGTGCGCATCTTCGTGTTCGCTTCGTGGACATACGCTATTATACCCTTCTTCGTTACATTTCGCGCTGCCAATGACGAGAAAAGATATAGCGAGGATAGACACACCTTTTCCTCGCCCTCAAACTGTCTGAACTTATCATCCCCGACCTTCCCAAGCGGACAAAAAAAGGGAATCTCTCTGCCCTTCAGGTCGCGTTTCTCCCGTTTCAACAACGTTCCAAGCTGCAGTGAGTCACTTAAACGATTGCGCGTCTGATAAGGAGAACTATTCATCTACTAGAATTCAATAGACCAGCGTCTGTATGTTTTATTCGACCAATCGACGGAGTCATCTCGAGGTTAATTCAAAACAGATTAACCCCTGTCTTGGGGTTAATTAAACAACAGATAACAAATAATTTAGGATTTGAGGGAGCTTCGTAGTCGGTATTCTTAGAACTTAAGGTCAACGCGTATACACACGTAACACAGTGAATTGAATAAAACAAAAAAATTGGTATCAATGAACGATTAACGTGACTCAGAGATCGATCGGAGATCGGAGCTAACGAAGCAACGAGATCTGGGCTAAGAAGTTGGCTCCATTCGCGGTGGATATATGAATTTAGCCGCATGTATTGCCAAGAAGTCCAGATGTTTCCTATTTTTAGTTCGAACACGACGCAAATAACACCAAGCATCAATCCGAAGGACTAATTCGAGGGGAACGTTGAACTTTCCATGTTGGTAGAAATATGACGGGTGACATGATTCACGAATAGCTTATCTATCGACTCTACCGCGTTATCGTCGAGCAAATATCATCACAGAGAATGCAGGCGAATAAGCGAATCGATCGAGATACTACGCTGCCGGTTTCGCGAAAAAAAAAAAAAAAAAAAAAAAAGACCGAAGACGATAAGGCGACGAAAATACTGAAAAAATGATATCGAGGTGTATAAGTTTGGTTTTGAACGGAATTCTTCGCTTCACACTGTGTCATCCTGCAATAATTATACCTATTAATGTCAATCACTCTGAGGAGAACAGCTTTTTTCCAAGGTCGCAAAAGACATACCGCGAGATCTGGTGAATTTTCAATATGCGTTCAAATTGCTCACGCGCGGACAGTCTCGAATGCTAAATTGTAAAAATGTGCAAACATCGGGCGAAAAACAATATGCGCAAATTTATTTTCGTACAGCTATTGCTCGGTTGATTTATATCTTCAACGAAGTATCTGATAAGGTGACAGGTAAATATTAAACACTAAATATTATTGTCAGACGTATTATACAGTAGGAACCGCAAACGGTTGTCAACGCGAGCTAAGGTTATCCATTCAAAATGAAACACTTTTTTTAAAACACTTCCCCCACATCCTCGACAAATTTTTCCTACATCGTTGTCGCGATAGCATGTGCCTAACGCAACCTAAAGCCATTAGCAGAGAACACGACACGAGAGCTAGCACTTAAAATTGTTTCCCTCGAACCCATACACACATTGGTTCCCCGATCGAGCGCCAATTGCAGCTAACACTCGCTGCAACACATCTTTTTCCACGAGTGCAGCCAGCCACGATGCTATATAGACCGGCGCGGTTCACAGTCCCATTGTCGCTTAATTGGCCCTACAGCCTTGAAACCGGCGAACGTGTCGCGGCCAATCGAGAGAGGAATAAGTGCGTCAACTTGGAAAGCGCAATCCTGCTTTTCCAACGGTGGCAAGAGAGGATCGGTTGCGTTTCGCAGTCCTTTGTGAGCGGCAATTTCGACTTGTTTCGCACGAGTATACCCCACTCGTAACGCCTTCTACACAACTACGCTCCCGATCGAGCACCGTGTATAACCAACGACTAGTACCTCTTTTGTTTCTATCGCAGTGCAGAGAAGTGGCTTTCGAGATACGAAGCAGAGGGGAAAAAAGTAATAGAATCGATGGAACAATTGACACTCGTTTCAACAACGTGTGAACTTATACGATTCCACGTGACTTGTGAAATCGATTATCGATACCATCTTCGATTACACACGATCGTGCAGATTTAACTGACGCTCGTGTACCGCCCCCTTTCGTCTGTATCGTAGAAAGAAAGAAAATTATGCTTAATCCTAACGAGACGAACACTCAACAGGCTTAACTCTCTCGAGACCAGAACAAAACGTTGATCTACGTTTACCTCTACTATACTACCATCACAGTCACAGATTGTAGCTTGGTTCTTTCATTGACCTTTCTACCCCGCAATGAGTACAGAATCCTGTGTCACAGCACTTGAATGAGAACGCTAGCAGTGCTAGTGAGAAGTGCACGCAACAGTTGTGGCTCACAATACGCTTCTACCTGCACGATAATCTATCGATGTTTCATCGAACGAATTGCAAAGTGTACCGCAATCGTAGTTCCACCGAACGTGGAAACGCAACACGAGATCGAACGGCTAATGGAATTGTTGCGCGATGTCTGTGAAAAAAGTATTACCGGGTGATTCATAGCGCAACCACGATCACCTGTCTCTTATGCGCAAAAATGTACGTAGAACGAGAACGTCTGGCGAAACAGAGGACAAGAAAGAGAAACAGATGAGAACGAGATCTGCGTATTAAATGTCGCGCGACAGACGTTGCGGAAATTGGTGGGAAAAGCACGTGGATATCTCCTGTTCAATCCTGAGCTTTGCGTTATAACATACACACGACCTTTTGATACTTTTTCTCAAGTGAAAAAAAAAAAAAATAGTACAACGATGTGAAATTAATGGCGCGTAACACACTGTGAAAACTTGCAAAACCACTTGTACAGGGAACATTTTCTTCTTTTACTCGAGTAAAATAGAAAGTCTTTACGTTTTCCGCGGAATTATTCTACATAGGTGTGTTGCATAATTGATTAACTGGTATTCCTTTGTTTCGCGTAGTAATCTCGTAACATTCCACGCGATCGCAGCGATTACAGTAATTTCAGGCTGCTCGCTAATTTCTGTTTACGCAATTGCAACAAACTTGGCCGAGTCATTTTGACCGATAATTAACTTGTACCTAAAAATTACCGAAACTGTATCTACTATTATACAAATTCTAAGTCATTTTTTCATAAACACCAATCGTTCATTTCGGTTGCTTCGGTAGTCCTATTGCTAACTTCACAGGACTAGCAATAAGAGTAATAGATAACGAAAATTATTTTATCACCGTGGCTTAAAATATCGTTTAATTATTTTTATTGTAACGAGAATGTATCGATGCTTGATTGGAGGAAAAACAAGGTACATATATGTACTCACGTAGTAATCGATTCAATAAGGTTAAACATGAAGAAGAAAATAACATACGACTCGGTATTCTCGTTATGTCGCATTAACCAATAACGAATAGTAAACAGAGAGAAACGTGCCGGGGAGCTTCAGCGAGGCTTGAGATAAAGGAAATTGCGTGGCTTGATTTCGCATAAACAGTGACATTCGGCATAAAATTATTCATGAAATCGAAAGAAATATAACGGACCTCGATAACCTTTCGATCTGTCATTTCAGAAATTCAAAGCGTCGTCCAATCCAAGCACGAAAACTGGATACGTTGCACGTGTTCTTTTACTCTTTTCATTCCCTCCTCCGCTTCGCTTTTTCCGTTTTCTTCGACACAAAACACAGAGCTGGAAAACGTAGCTTCTTCTCCGTGAGCGAAATAGTGAACGATTGCACCGACAACTTATTCATTATCGTTGCTAAATCCACGTTTTCTTTGGGTCTCGTGGCGATAGCTTTCATAAAACGTACGTTTCTCTTGAAATACAAAATATTCTATCATACTTTTACGACGTATTCCAATAACACGCGGGAATGTTTTACTAATGGCCAACGGTCTGAACGTATGTATGTATTTATACGGAGAAAGGTTAACGACACCGAAAAATTGGCAACACGACCGATCGAACGGGATCGAATGACATAAACACGAAACACACGCACATCGATGACCGCTGATCGATTGGGACGTCGACTTCCAGCTAACTTCAACCCACGCGAGGAACTCCCCTCCCCAGATAGAAATTACGTTTCTTGTACGAATAACGATGTAATAATTAAATGTGTTGTAATCTTGCTAATGACGATGATATTAATCGTAATATTAGTAGGTACGATGTAAGATAAAAAGTTCCAGAAAGAAAGGGACAGAGAAATGTATTCTGAGAAAGACGCACGTATACAATGTACACAGTCACGTGACCCTGTGACAAGGGCACAGAAAATAAAGATATTTTTAATTTAACAGAATAACGGTTAATGTTTTTTAATAACGATTTGAAAAAATGGAATTAGCGTTGACCAGGAACGACTGATTTCCCGACGAAACGACGTTTCACACGACACGCACACCACAGCAATTACCGCGCGGCGGGGAACGTGTAACAGAAAGGACGAAGAACGAGGGAAGTTGTTTCTTTTAAAAGAGGACAGCACGCTTAGTGAAATTGCGTAGTAGTGCGCGTAGGAAGAAGCGTACGTTCGTTTTCTCGCTCGTTCCTTCGACGAAACAACTTTTTCTTTCCTCTTTCTCTCTTTTTCTCGATTGTTCCCTTTTTATCTGGCTCTGCGGACCAGATAATCCACGGCTGTCTTTCCCTTTCTTAATTTCAACGTGATTTTTTTTCGTTCGTTGCGAGTCTACGAGAAACATCGTCTCGAGAGCGAGTCGGGAAAGAGAATACGTGAAGGTGCAACAAGTTGAAAACTCACTGAGCTCGTTGTCCGCAAGGCTCGAGCCGAGATGCCCGAGTACACAGAAGGCCAGCAACAGGATGTACAGCCATCGTCGAGGAGCTCCGTCACAGCCACGGTTAAAGCACCACCGTTCACACGCCATATTTACGAAGCTGCTAAACTCTCTTGCGCTACACGAATATAAATCCGTGCGCTTCGTACCCCGTCTGCCTCACGCGACCGACCAGACGATGACGGAAGGATGACGGAGGGAGAGGGTATGGGAAACGACAGAGACGGGGTAAGAAACGATAGATAAAGATGGAAACAGAGTCGAGTGAAACGATGGACGCGAACGGAGTAAACGATGCTAGCGGAAGGTGAACGAAGGAAATATTTTGGGTATATTATGATCGAGGATACGGTTTACACTTTGTCTGCTTTTATAATGTTGACCACGCAGCTCACAAGTGTCACCGAAAAAGAAACAATTTAGTCTGGCGGCGATTCAAGTTTAACGCGAACACGCGGCGTACACCAGAATTCGTGTTTCTTTTACGAACAGGCACGAAGTGTGCGCGAGAAGGTGAGACTGGCAGCCGAGGACTTTGTTTCGAACACGTTTTTAAACCGGTACCGGACGGACGAGGACGACGGCGACGATTGCTTGCGGCACGAACGGCATGTTGGCTCTCACTGGCTCTTCGCCGCGTTCTTCAATCGCTCTCCTAGGAGAGTTTCCGTTAAGTTATCTAGATAATTGTGAATCTAGAATCAAGATAATGGCGGAACCAATCAAACCGTCGCTGATCCTTAAACGCTTTTCTCGATGCATTCCAACTGAAATCGTAATTTCGTAAAACTTTTCGATCTTTTATTGATTTACTAATTTCACATGTTTCCGAACGAGTAAACATTTTTTTTGTCACAATAACGTAGAAGGAGATTTAACGGTAATAAAAGGAATATTATTACTAAAATATAGAAATACTATTCTCTATGTTTTTTACATTCAGTGAAATAAAAAAATTACCTTTTAATTTTTATTTAAATTTTTATTGATAAGAATACTTCGAAATACCCAAGTAATTGCGTTCGTTGTATATACCGGCAAAGAAGACATCTATAATCTCTGAAGATGATAATGGATTTTTCATCAAAATAAAATTTTCTTTATCATTTTAAATTACGAACGATAACTAATTTTCTAAAATTTCTAAATCAGCAAAACAGGTACTTGATAAAGATGGTGAGGGTACTTCGGAATAATGTGTTATGTCAGGAATATGGGAATCACAGGGAGAAACAAGAGGAGGCATTTTCATTTGGCTTAAATGTGAATCTGACTTCAAACCAGTGCTTATTGTTTGGTGTTGATTAAATATAGCCTATAAAAAATATGGAAATTCCGAGAAAATAAAATTCAAATATAAACATTTTTTTTTTAATATTTTGTTTACCGTAACCATTATTTTATCTCTGAATGTTCTGTGACAATGTGCTTCATCTGAATTATGTGGAAATTTTAAAACTAGATTAACTTGTTGTATTTGTTCATTTTTTTTCTTCAACATGTACGATCTGTCTGTTGTTCTACATATGTAATCTAACTCGTCAAATGCATCTAATGCTATAATCAGTTTAGAATCGCGAATTCTCGCATACTCGTCCTTCTCTTCAATTTCTTCCTCTTTTTTGATAGATTGTATTATTTTAGTTTGTCTCTCTTTCGACAGTGAACCCACTAAATAATATCGTTGAGCCATTAAAAAAAGTGCTTGACCATCCATGCCAAGTGGAGTGATACCAACATGTTCAAAATATTTTGCAATTTCTATCCAGACCTGACCTAATTTTAATACGAAATACAATTCCATGCTAGATATTGTAATCTGAAAAGATGTTATATACACAATCTGTGTCAAATGTTGCAAAGTATAACCAAAGATTCGATGAATTCGTTTGCACAGCACTCACTCTATCTTCCATTGAAAGATTAGCATATAATATTTTATAGCGCTCCTTTGCTATTTCATACCTTTCGTTATCTTTTTCAATTATCTTACAAATGCTATATATTTTTGATCTGATTGAACCAATCATATCATTTATTGCTGGACTAATATCTCTACTTAGTTTTGTATCATAAGTATCCAGCCACTGCTTATGACCCATTTGAGGCAATTTTACATCTAATATGTAAAAAATAATTTATTCAACTTTTCATGTAGATGCTAGGTGACATTGGATTAATTGATATTATCTTGCAACTTGACCTTTAATTGTGCCATCTGTATTTCTTTTAACTTTAAGCCGTATTTCTTCTTCTCTCCATACTTTTGCTAGCAAGGACATTAGTCCTGTTCTCTTATCAATTCCCCTCCATGTAGATAAAAATGGGCCACAGAAAAAGTTATCACACATATCAGTAAAAATAGCAAGGAATAGACATTGAGAACAATATGGTACAATTTCAATAATATCTAGAAGAATGTATACTGCTCCATATTCAATGAATTTTTCAAGGTTTTTAGGGCACCATATTATGCATTCCCAAATGTAGGAACCTATTGCTAATAAAAGACTAACAAAATCTTTTTTATGCAGTAATATTTAAATATTCTGATTATACTATCATAAATACACATTACCGTTGATCTATTTGAAATTCTTGACCTTTCTGATATAAACATCGAAATAACAGTTCCATGACGAATGTGACACTATATTCTCCATATATCTCCTGATAAAACATTTGTTTTCTCATTAGTCTTTCAAGTATTATTAATGCTAATGTTAAAGTTCTTTGATCTTTCATTGTGATCTTCTCAAATTTCAAAATACAATTAATAAGTTCTGTAATATGTTATATATAATGTGTAAATGGGAAAAGATAAAATTCATGATGCATAGGCTAAAAACTAACTAATTAATAACAATATAATCCCATGGTGTCGAAAATATTCTAGTATGTGTGTATTATCTGTTAGAACAATGGTGCAAATTGTTCTTATGCATGCCATCACAATTTTTATATTAAATTTTGTACTTAAACACCATTCCAATACCATATACAACCTATAAAGATTTTATATTTATTTTGCATAATAAAAATGATAAATTATAAATCTATCTACAAATGTTTATCTACCTAATGCTACCATTATGATCTAAAAATTGTTGTGGCATTTTTGGTGCTAACACAGACAAAGCATTTATGGCATACAACCATAAATACCAAAATTGAGATGAACTCCAAGTAATCTTGGTTTCTTGAGTATCTGGATTAACAAGTTGAAGTACAGTTTGCATGAGGTTCCTTCTTTCCATGAACTATCATAAATAAATGCCACAATATTATAACAGTTTCCATAATTTATCACATGTAATATACTAATAGAATAATAATTACAAGTATACAAGCATCAACTTCTGCTAAATGTGTGACAATTAGTAATAAAATCTTTTCAAAAAATAAATCTTCGTTTGTTCTACCAAATTTCACTAGTTCTGAAAACACTCTCGCAGTACCAGTTTCAACTCCAACTAAATATTCAATAACTGCATCTGCTACACCACTACTAACAAGATTCCAAGAAGGAAATGTGTTTAAAATGACAAAAATAAGCATAGCAATTTCATTTCTAATTCTTGCATTGAAACTTCTATACTGACTGTAACATATTTGCCTTTTAAATGCATAACACAAACCCCTGTACATTAAAAATTAGTTTCAAAATGTGATACACGATTTTTTGTATACTTTTCTAAACATTACCATAAAACACAATGTGCAGGCGTTGAACTTTTATTTAAATTAGTTGGCATGCTATTAGGGGGAATAATAGATTTCATTAGACTCCATAATGTATTCATTATTAAAAGAGTTGTATCGTCAGAGTACTCATTTCCAATTAATAACGAATCAGGTGGTCTTGTACAATGTAATTGTGTTGCATAAGGAAGATCCATTCTAATGAATATGGTGTTAAGTACATTAACTTCCAGCATTCTAAGAGCTTTATTTTTCCATTATAGAAATTTAATAGCAAATATTTAAACGTTTATTAGATTTAAAAATTGAAAGAATTAATTTCATAATACCTACAGCTTACACGTGAAGTGGATGAAAGTAAAAAAATTAAGTCTAAAATTTTTGGATATATATCTGGAAAAGAAGCTTGTAATAATTCAACCACAATAAGTGGCAGCTTTGATTTTTCCATGGCTCTACGACAATGTTTAAGTTTTATTACATTGACATTTGTTAATTTTGTTCTCAATAACAAAGAATGAAGAGCTTGGTGAACTTTCAGTGCTTGATGTTTTGGTAAGATAACAAGAAGGTCTCCTAACAATGTAAAATATTGTTCTAATATATGACAATTAGTGACACCTTCGAAAGATTTTTCCAATAAGGGTGGTAAATTACAAAGTTCTAACATTCTATCAAAATGTAATTCATATTCTTTAACTAATTGAACATTTTCAGCCAAAAACTTTAATATTTTAATTACCAATGGTAAATCTTTAACTTTCTAAACTTTTTTAAGGAAAATCCTTTTATAAATAAGAAAGTATATTATCAGATAAAAAAGTTCAAGAAAGGATACATATCCATTGTCTCCTACTTCATGAAGATATTCATATAGAAGTCTACATATACGGGGTACACTATTACTGATTATAGGATCAGATATAAGTTTATCTAATTTTTGTAGAATATAATTTGTGTCTACTTTGAAATATTCACGAAAATGAAAAATTCCTTCTGGTAATTTATCAGTTTTAGGGTAAGGACGGATAATATATTTTGGACAATTAAAATCCTTCCAAACATCCTTAGCTTCCAATTTATTAAAAAGTTGTATTGCGTCTTTATTTAGCTCCATGTGTTACTACGTTTATTTATACAATATATTTCATACGTATAACAGATTCAAAAGAATTTGAACGAACTTTACATTGCTGAATAAATGGCATAAAAAAAAAAAAAAAAACCGATTAATCATAAAAAGATCGAAATAAAAATGAAATTGTCAATAGAATTCTTACCTCCTTCTCGCTACAAATGTCACATAAATTTCATGAAAAAAAGAAATATTATCACAATATTTTTTTAATCTCACAATAGACACGTTAAAAAATAGCGGACAAAACTTAAAAAAAGCAATTGCCGAACCTAATGGCGCCCTCTGATACAACATTTTTAAAATACGTCATAGATGACGCTCGCGTCAAATGAAGCGCCGACGCAGTGTACTTTAATTCGGTTCGAATACTTTTCGAGAAATTGATTATACCACGTTCGATTCCAGTAAAATCAATCAGAAACATTCTAAAGTGTTAAAGAAAAGCCTAGAGAAGGAACAATACGTGCATTTATGCTCTACTGCAACGAGAAATATCGGTCGCAAAATGTTGTTCATGTTAGAATAGTCGTACACAGAGAATATACGAATGTGTTGGTCCTTCGTGCACGTGCAGGAGAGAGTTTGCAACAGTCGCCGACGCTGTCGACGGTAGCAAGGTGTGCTCGTGAGTCTCGGTTTACCTAAACTTTTCACCGTATGTAATCAATTATATTTTTGACGCTTGCAAAACGTTAATATCACGAAAGAAATCAAATAAAAAACCAGTGCCGAGGATGTCGTTTCTCCAAGCTATATTCCTAGTTTTGCGAAATTAGAAAGTACACGCTTCTTGCAAGTATATACATACTTACATACTTATGAAACGAAGCATTTCATATTTTCAATTCTTGGTCAGTGGAAGTTGCAGAAACAAACGAATCATCCTTCAACCAGTACTTAAAGATATAATTTATCGGAAAATGACGTAAAGTATACAGTGCATAGAAAGCATCGTATATTTCGTATAAAGTTTGAACAATTTGAGAAAAGTTGAGAAATCGAAAGAAGCAATTGTACACGAGATACGCCGTTCGATAATACGTTTGAAAAAGACCGCATATAACAAGTATCGATATTAGCTAACGATAAAACTTCTACTCGATAGTATCGACCGATTGCAGTAAGATTTCAACCGATAACCGAGTCATTCCCATCGCTATCGATTTCAACCAAAGAAAAAGCTTTGTTCGCGATGGTCCAGGAAGTGGTTTGACAGTTTTGAAAGAAGCAATTTTTGGCGCATTAACCACGGATCAGTGGCCAGAGCGGAGATGGTCGTTTGATCGGCGCTCGAAGTCAATGTCGAGATACACGGTCGCAGGTAGTCGCCCTCCGCTATGCTCGCGCACGTAAGATTGGTTCGTGCGTGTAAGGTGGTTGGTAGTAGTCGCGACGCTGCCGAGAGCAGCAGCTGAAGTGCGTGCATGTCGTTCTTGGTGATCTGAGCGGAGTGGTTCGCGCAACGTGTGTGAGTGTGATATTCGTTTCTCTTGGAAATTTCGCGTGTCCACACGGGGGAGAGTGTCGGTAAAGGATTAAGAAACGACAGAAGTTGGGTGTGACTAGCGATGTGACAAAACTGCGACGACCTTGGCGGGACGGTGAGTGACCTTTTTGAATGGCACGTTCGTGGACTTTTTTAGCCGCGATGCGTACGCGTAGCCGGTGTTTCTCGCACCGGTCTTCTTTCTCACGGGAAAAATGCCTTATTAATTGCTACGACAGCGAGGCGTGTAACAAGCCCCGACTACAATTACATTCTACCTTTACCTCGAACCCTTTTCTCCGCGTTCCGACGGCCAAACGAGCACGTTTCTCTCTCTTTCTCTCTCATCGCTCGTAACATCGTCTTCTTATTAAGCTTCTCAAGAATTGAAGAGAAACGTTGCGTCTCGTAGCGGAGAATGCGATTCACGTCGTTTCTGTTCTTCTCTACGGTTTGCCCCCGGGGAAAAAAGAAGGAGAAAGAAAAGGTGCGTGTGTCTTTTTACACATCCAAGTGTGTCTACCGGCGGAAAATTCTCGACGTTTACGCATACAATTGGCCAAGGCGGATGTTTTTTCATTTTCAAGCAACGCTTCTCGTATTCTGTCTACGTGTATTCAAAGCACAACGATATATGGAAGCGTTTGATCGATTGTACACATTGGCGTCCCAGCCGTCATTCTCACCGGTGGTTTGACGCACGCAAATGCGTGTACGTAACGGGAAAGCGCGTGATACATAGGCGAGTGTTCGGCAAGCTTTCGATTGTGAGTTTCGGAGAAAGTATTACGATGAGTAGAGAGAAAGATCGAACGAGACGGTGGAGATGAAAAAATCAGCGGTGTTACGTTAGAAAAATTTAGGTACGCCGATGCGAGGGTTAGCTGGCTTGTTTCCTCGAGCCGGCAAATCAATATTTGGAGGGTAAGCGTCCGGACTGTCGGCGTCGAAGCTGCGGAACGTGAGTCACTCACCCCTGCTTGGTAGGGAGAGGGAGAGTAGGATGACTTTTCTCTTTCACCCTCTCTTCTTGCAACGAGGGCTCGCGAGTAGACTCAACTCGCGACGCGACTTTACTCTTCTCTGCAGGAACACTGCAACACTCACACGGAAGTAGCTCTTCGGTATTATCCTGCTGTTAGCCCTATCGAATAACATATTCATCTTTTTTTTATTCAAATAACTTCAACTTAACAATAGCGACATAATAGACGAGAGATTTTTTTATCAATATTTTAGCTAAAATTATGCGAACAGAGGAGGTAAAGCGTGGAACGATCGAAAATCCACTTTTTCAACGCTAATAGACGACAGATTTTTATCAATATTTTAGCTAAAATTACGCGAACAGAGGAGGTAAAGTGTCGAACAGTCGCAAATTCACTTTTCCAACACGAACAATATCCAAATAAAAGATACAAAGTTTTTATCGACACTTGGCTCAAAATTACACGAACCGAAGGAGTAAATCCACTTGGACCGTTGGCAGGATTAAGAAATAATCGCGTATCGAGAATGTCGACGCGGGATTTTGCGCCGGTTTAATTAAGATACTCACGAATTTTCGGATTGCCTCGTGCAGTCGAAAGAACGGAAGGTTAATTTACGGCCTTTAAAGACGCCCGTGCACGCATACGAGCGTGAAATGTATGCACCTAACTAAACCCGTTTGAGGGAGCGACGGTGGGAACAGGTTCCATAAAATTGAGCGTTCTTCCGTAGGACTTTTATCTCCGGGCAGCATCTCGAGCGTACTACGCTCTCCTCGATCTACCATGCGTCCTCTTTCAAATTTTCAGCCACGGATTTTCAGTAACGGAAGTCGACGGTGGAAGGGTTCTGGAACGCGGAGTCGTTTATTCCACCAAGATTTCTAGAATTGGTAACGGGTTAACTTTCAAAAATCTGCGAATCGCGTGCAAGAATTCGACGACCCGCTTCTTTTCACCGGAGAAAACGTAGATATTCTTCTGGGATACAGAGTAGTAATAACGTTAGCCAAGTCGCCGTCGTATTTATAATGAAGCGAAAGGCGCAAGAAAGCGAAGAAGAGGCAAGCAAGAGTGGTCTGTATTTGTTTTTGAGCTAGCATGACTCGTGGAACAGAGATAACTATCGCTTGAAATTACAGACTTATTCTACGAATCATTCCCTCGCTGATCGATCTATCGTCTCCTTCCGAAATCTCGCGACGTCATCGTTCGTGACCAATTATCAGAGTTCGGAGAAGCGAGGTGTCCGCATGCCCGTATACTACATTCGAGGATAGTGGTACTCGATAGTCGCGTCTACGCTTCCTCTTTTTCCCATTTTACCGCTCACCGTTACGCCAATATAGTTTCTCGTACGGCGTGTAACGGTTGTTATTGTAACAGCCGGGAGGAACGGCGAGATTTCCATTTGGTTTTCGTTTAGACGAGAAGCGCACACGTTCCAGAGTCATCTTCGTAGCGGGAAATCTATTTCGAATAGAGAATACGTTCGAGAAGAAACTTCTCCACTTTGTCGAATCATCATCCTCCTCTTCGCATTCCCGCCAAGGACGATGTTACTTTTCAATCGTCTCTGTTCGAGCACGTTCGAACGTGAACTCTGCCATCTAACGACGGAACTGAATTAAAAACTAAGGAAGAAAGACACGGAGCGTTCCCAGAGCTGATCTTGTGCCTGGCTGTCTTAACCTTGAACGGGAACCGTGTACACCGGTTATTGTAATAGGTATGCGGCGTTTCTCGCGTGTTCATTCGTCAAGCGGCCAAATGAACCGAGCCAGCCTGGAGCAGAGAAAACGAAAAAGTTGTCGGTTGCGGATGGTTCGGTCGAAAAAGGATGCGTCTGGCCTCTTCCCGTTCCAGCTCAAATAATTCCTCCCTAATTTTCTCCGACCTTCGACAGCCTGTCGGCACCGTGCGTAATCGTAATGAGACTTTTCGTACACGTCGAAAATCGGTTACAAACTTCCTCTCTCTACAGCGCTATTGTCGCGTAATTATCGGACAGTAAGAAGGATATACTCGGGAGTCAATCGACACCGGTTCTCCGTAGGATTTCCGTGCGCGGATTAACGAGATTGAAAGGACTCCCAGGAGGCCGTATTAAAACATCGTTAGAAAGGATTCAACGAATGATCGCGATTCTTCGCGTTGCATCACGCAGAATCAACAACTAACCGCCGTCTTTCAACTTCAACAAAAGTACGCCGAAAAAGAAACGCGTCGCGGCCCCGTGTAATGCGGCGGAAAGACTCGTGCGAGTGAAACAGTGGCGAAACGGAGAAATTGGATTATACGGATTCGAGGGAACGGCCGGTAAACGCGGTCTTTATGTCTCAATCGAAAGGTCGGAACGGTGGAGAGTTTGTTACTTTGCCGAGGTCGACTGGTTTCCTCTGAGATAACAGACAGTTCGATTTATCGAAAACGTCTCGAATAGTTTGGCAGCCGGCGAAGATCGTCTTATCTAGGCTTCTCGGGAAGCCATTCGGCGACTGGTGAACCGAAAAGGCTCGCTCTTCTTTATCGGGCGAGATACGGGGACCTGGCTGTTCAGGGATAATTGGTAGGTTCGAATTCCAGACCCTCTTTCGTGTAATTAATAGTTGCTTCGCAGAAACCAAACCTGGTATCCCTTCGGGTCGTCTAGTCCGGTGTTCTTCAACCTTTTAACACCCGCGGACCGGCGTCAGTCAGAGATAAAAACCAACGTAGATTACAATTTTTGGTTAGTGCGACATCTGCTGCTGATATAGAGGAGAGCCGTGCACCACTGTCAGTTGACTGCATTATCGATGGAAAAACAAATGCATACTACAGCCCTGAGATTCTTTGTTCTTCAGTATTAGCAGAGTTCTAAGCGTTTAACGTTTACGATGGTGTTCCGTACGACAAAAGTTATTTTTCATAGCTGCAATGGTTGGGCTCACGTGGAGTGTACGGATCAAGAACGGTTATATTCTATTTTTCAATATTTTTTATTAACATTATTTATTTCTTAGACCGTAAAATGTAGCAACTAAGTGGGGCTGGCCGGTACTGTACGACAATTTTTCGTTCGCTGCAAATTACAACTTTTCTATTTCTACCAATTATTCATCTTTATGAGAAAATTTAAGAAAAACCATTTGTCCCCTTTTATCCAAGCACCCTTTGTACTACAAATCACTTTTTTCAAATTTCATTTTTACCAACAGTAGCCCAAGTTATTGGCATTAACGTCCATTTGATTTCTCTGTTTGGCTTTCATCACTGACGTAGCAAATATTTAGCAAATTCTTCCGCGGACCACCGGTTGAAGACCACTCTAGTCTACGTAAGAACAGAGAAAAAACGTAGGAATATGAAAATAGAGCAGTTGATGGTAATAGGAAGAGCAGCACGGACAACTAATTTCACATAGAAGAGAAGAGCGAAGAGGGGTAGGAATCTCGAGGCGAAAAGATGGTTATCGATATCGCGCATTTTCCACTGGACGGTTAACCGGAATTTAAGAGTCGGCAACGTGTGAGCGGGAACGAGCGTGGAATATAAAGGTGCGTGCATCGTTCACGGAATACCATCGCGAGACGCGTTTCACCGTACGCGCAACAATTATCATTCTACCGAGAGCAATCGACCGTGCGTTTTCGTTCGATGCGCAAACTTTCAACGCGTGGGCGCTACGATCGTCGATTTATATCTTACTACGCGCACACACGGGCAATTACATTAATAACCAGCAACGAGAAATATGTGTATATTGGCTATCCGACGATCTTCGAATATGTTCGCGCATCCTACGCGCTATTACTCCGTAAACTCGTCGAGCGAACGTTCGCTGCTAGGGTGTTTAGATGATTCGCGAGTTTTTCCACTGCGTCCAATTTCGTTCCTCCATAGGTGGATTACCGGTGAGTCTCCTCTCGCGACGCGTTAGTCACGCGTACCACTGGTCTCAGCCATTAGAGTGGACGGACGTAGAGGAGCGACCGAACGAAATTACTCCATTTCTACGATCATTCGTGTATTTGGAGGAGAAAAAGAAGGAATTACCCCGTTGTAGATATACATTCGAGCCGAGGAAGAGGCTCTCCGGCTGTAAGCATCGCGGCGTGCGCGTCCCTGGCCATCTCTTTGCTCGTTCTTTTTTCCAAAGTCGGGTCGGGTCGTTTTGTTCCGAAGGCGAGTGCGGCTCGAGTCCGTGTGCTCGTTGTCTACCTGCTGGTGGCTGGTTGTGCAAGCTGTGGTTCGATTGGTTCGTGCCGATGCACCATCCGTTTCGATTGGTCAAACCGGATCGGCTAGCCTCCGGGGAAGGAGGATCGGAGAGCCTATCTTCTCGTGCTCTCGCTACGGTCAACTAGTCCCCGCGATCTTCAGGACCGACGAGGACGATTCTCCGAGGCAATAAGACAAACGGAAGAAGAAGAAGATGCTGATTGCGGACGATCGCGACGTCCTTTGCGCCCAACCTTAACCTTTCTTTCCTTCCTACCTTCGCAGCTCTCCACCCTCGAGTAACTCGATCGTTGTTCTAGGCGAAATTCGAATACGAGATCTCCTTCGACTCCTTCTCGCTTCGGCAGGAACAAACGCAATTTCGTACAACCGTTACGCGGCTTTTGTTGTTCGCAGGAGGGATTCCTCGTCGTGACTTTTTTTTTTGCTTTCGTGACCGACATACTTTCTCGAGGGACTCGCGCAGTCCTCGCGCAGTCCTCGCGATCCTTCGTCGATCGCAGCTTCGGCCTATATTCGGCCGGTGACGAAGAGGCGCGGCAAATGATCCTCCTCGTTTAGACGATGAATAATATTCCGCGGAAGGTTCGATCAGTTTTTCGTGTCTGGCAGATGCTGCGTTAAAATGTTACAAGCGTGGCACGGTTCGCGAACGAGGAGAAATAGAAGCGCGCCGTGTCTTTCTCTTTTTTCGCCGGTGAAACGGGTGTTTCAACTGCATCCTTCGAGATTACACGTTTCGATGTCCTGCTCGAAGGACGCGGGGAGATATTCCCGACGTATACAGCCTTTTTTACCGGCGCAGAGTGAACGGAGAACTGCGGAATCACGTTTGGTTCGGTGTTACGCGCGCTTATCGAGAGAAAAGATGCGAGAGGGTCTCGTCTGTCTAGACGTCTGAAAATCGGCGTTTCACGAGATAATAGGCTAGATGCGTGAAACGGGAGAGGCAGGCAGGGTCAACGAATTTGCCGTAGAAGGGAACGAACGAAGGAGCGTGGAGGGTGAAACGAGCGGAAATCGTCGTTCCCACGTTTTACAGCGGGTATCGCATTCTCACACTCGCGGAAGATATTCGGCGTAAGAAAGCAGCGCAGCCAGAACAGCGTTTTCTTTTTTTTCCCCCCCCTTGTTTCACCGATACGAGCACACCTTGACGAAATAGACTGCAATTAAATGGGAAAAAAGCGGGGAGATGCTGTCGCACCGGCTCTAATCCGGATTAATAAATTCTAGCAAAAGTAATCTCTCCTCGGGTTTTTCTCGCACGAACGTACTACTACCGGTTTTTGCCCGGTTGGCGGCAGCTTCCTAGGTCGTACTCTATGCCCTCTTCTACGTATAATGAATTATTCAGCGGTTCTTGAAATTGCTCGTTCGCCTCGTTTTACGATCGTTTTATCGCCTATCTGTCTCATTTCCAATCCCGAGTCACCGTGACGAACCGTGGTCGAAAAAATATTTCGCGAATTATCGCGGAAGTGGTCGACGTCGAAAGGTACCACGGCCTGAGATATTCCGCTCGAGACTTGGCTCACGGTCGTGAACTCTGAACTAACGAACGTCACGTCCGCTTCTCAACTTCGTGCTAGACGTTTTTTAACGAGCGTGTTTCGATCGACTTGAACCACGAACGGCGCAGCACTTGTTACAACGTTCCTAAATATTTGCATCCGAAGATACAGAATCAGCCCTATTTTATAGAGGAGAGGGGAAAATAACGATCCAATTTACTCGTCACACGAGTAACAGAAGAGTAGAAGAGAATCTTTCCCTTTCGCAGATGGAAGGCGAGGCGAGAGAGCGTTGAGCGGGAAGAGGCTGGAGAATCGGTAACAATGGGACACTTGAAGACGAAGAAGGAGCGGTCGTTGTAAGAGAGGGTGGAGGAGGCCGCCATGGCTCGCTGGAAATGGATCCTCCTCTCGTTCCTCGCTTGCTTCTGCAGCGTGAGCGAGGCTTACCTGGCCGTCCTCTCCTCGAGCACGCCAGCAGGTAGCATAGTGTTCGAGGCAGGTGTACCACAGCTTGGCGGACGTCGAAAGTACGAGGTCTCGAACGAAAGAACCGCCTGGTTCGCCACGAAGCTGCTCAAGGTGCACCCGCACACAGGTCGCGTCACCCTTGCGCGACCCCTGAGCTGCGACGGCCTTCAGTATCCGCGGATCTTCACCTTCTACGTGGACTCGACCAGCTCCAGGCTAGGCAGACCCACCATCGACTATTACAGCCTCCCTCTCCGAATCTTGATCACCGGCTGCGGCGGCGAGAATCGAGATCTAGCCGCCACCAGAGGATGGATGGCGGAGACTTTGGCCTCGTACGCTATGCCGAGCGCGGAAAGGTGACTTCTTTTCTCTCTTATTAATTCACATACAACTCCGAGGTGGTAGTTAGCGCGTGTAATTGCACCGCGAGAGAACGACAACGGTAATCGCGATAAGGGATAATAAGGTTGCTCCGCTTGTACAGGTTCACAGAGGTCTGCCTTAGAACGTCGCAGCTGGTCGCGGCCCTGAGAGACTTCCTGCCGCAGACAGCGTTGAAGGAGTGCGAGACCAGGTGGGGCGGCGTAGCGGACCCTAGGTTCTTGATCGAGGGTGCCGCGGGGGATTTGGTCTCGGCTAGGGAGCAATGCCTGGTCGATCCGCTATGGAAGATCTCAGTGTCTATGAACCTGAGGTGCGGCATGGATTCGCGGTTAACCGATGCCGAGCATCGTTTGAAGATCGTCTTTCACCATCGTCAACTGGACGACACGGATCTGGGCAGACGAGTCCGTCGAGAATTGAAGAATCAGTCGCCGTACTTCGAACAGCCCTTGTACGTCGGCCTCGTCGAGGAGGAGAAAGATCCTGGCGTTTATGTAATTTCCGTTCGAGCCAGAGATCCAGAGGGTGGTACCGTTCGATACTCCATGAGCTCTCTGTTAGACGCGCGATCTCAGGCGCTGTTGGTTCTCGATCCTGTCTCCGGTAGGGTTACCACTCGCGCCAGGCTAGACAGAGAGAGCGTGGACGTTCATTATTTCCGGGTATTAGCCGTGGACGATTCGTTTCCTCCGAGAACAGGCACCTCTACTCTCCAAGTGAACGTCATCGATACGAACGATCACGCTCCGAGCTTCGAGTGGCCGGAATACGACGCTTCTGTCAGGGAGGGTGTACCTGTGGGGTCTACGGTGGTCACTGTGAAAGCGACCGATCAGGACGCTGGCCGAAACGCCGAAGTCGAGTACTGTATTCTATCGACGACCAGCGGCACCGGAATCGAGACTGCGGACGACGCTTTAACCTTCAGAATAGACTCGAGATCTGGCGTGGTTACCACGCGCACGCCTCTCGACAGAGAGAAGACCGAGGTGTACACGGTGATCTTGAGCGTATCTGATCAGGCGACGCCGCCTTCGGCGCGTAAAACCGCGAACGCGACGCTGGTGGTCCATGTGTTGGACGACAACGACAACTATCCTCAGTTCACCGAACGTACGTACTCCGTGTGGATAGCAGAGGACCTCGATTATACGGCGAATCCGGTGATAGCACGTATACGCGCGACGGACGCCGACTCGGGGAATAACGCAGCTGTGCGGTACGCCATAATTGGCGGGAACACGCAGAACACTTTTTCCATAGACTCGATGAGCGGTGATGTGGCCCTCGTTAAGCCACTGGATTACGAGTCCACCAGAAGCTATAAAATAGTAATACGTGCTCAAGATGGTGGTTCGCCAGCTAGATCCAACACTACACAGTTGTTGGTACACGTGAAGGACGTTAACGATAATGCACCAAGATTTTATACCAGTCATTTTCAAGAGTCCGTTTCGGAGAACGTGCCCGTAGGCTACTCGGTGCTCAGGATACAGGCGTACGATGCTGACGAAGGTGCGAACGCTCAGATAAAGTACACCATTGGGGCTCGAGATTTTTCTGGAGCTTCCACGGAGAACTTTCCTATAACCGTTAACTCGGAGACT